TTTAATGGTAGAAAAGAAAAGATGAAAAGGTAATGCAAACGCACAACACTACAAGCTATTTTTCAGAATTATGAAAAATTTGTTATAAACGAAAAGACCAAAATATTATGAGAATGTGATGCAACCATATAATAAACTAACAACAATAAACGAGTTTTTCAAAGAAGACACAACTATATGATTAATTAATAACTATAAAACCGTTTTCTCGAAATGAGGCAACCGGATAAGATTAATTAATAACTATTAAAACATTTTTTTCATAAAGATTCAACAGTAAAATGCATTAATAACTATAAATTGGTTTATTCTCGAAAAGACACAACCATATCATGCATTATATTTATAAAACGGTTTTTTTAAAAGATGCAACTTTTTGATGTATTAATAACCATAAAATGCTTTTTACGAAAAGATGCAACCAGATGAAACATAATAATAATAAAAAAATTTTTTGAAAAAATGTAATTTTACATAGACCAATTTTTTCAAAAGACGCAATCCAACGATGCATTAATAACCATTAAAAAAAATTCTAGAAAAGATGCAATCCTAAGATGAATTAATAATAACAAAACAATAACTATTCAGAAATACAACTTTAGAATGCATTAATAACCATAAAACGGTTTTTCGAAAAGAAGCAATTCTAAGAGACATTAATAATTAAAAATAATTTTTTCGAAAACACACAAACCTAAGAGTCACTAATAACCATAAACAATATTTTTGAGAAGACGAAACCCTAACATTAATAACCTAGAATGTAAACTATCAAAAAAATTTTCAAGAAGATACATCTTTGCATAAACCAATTTTTTCGAAAAAACGCAATCCTAGGATTATTTAATAACCATAAAACCAAATTTCTCGAAAACAACTCTAGGATGTATTAATAACCACAAAATGGTTTTTACTAAGAAGACGCAATCAGATCATGTATTAGTAACTATAAAAGGGTTTCTTTAGAAAGCCACAATTCTTAAAGACATTGCTAATCTTAAAAAAATATAAAAGACGCAACGCTTAGATATTAATAACCAAAAGTCATTTTTTTTTAAAAACCCAATCCTAAGAAATATTAATAACCTTAAAACAAATTTTTAAAAAAGACGCAACCTAAGAGACACTAATAACATAAAATGTTTTTTTTCAAAAATGTGTAACCCTAAAAGACAATAATAGCCATAAAACATTTTTTCTGGAAAGACACAACCCTAAAATATATTTCCCAGAATTGCTATTATTGAAAGACGTGATCCTTCAAAAAAATTTCTAGAATTATTATTTAAATAAAGAAACAAAATATTATGAGACTCTAAGATAATGTTTGACGTTTTTTATCACATCATGTTTTGAGTGAATTTTAAAGCTCAATAAAAAAATATATAGAATTTGAAAAACACAAATCTATATAGCAGTGTTTTTTGAAAAGATGCAACTATAGAGATTAAAAACCATAAAATATTTTTTGAAATAGCATAATCCTAAAAGACACTAATAACAGTAAAATGAAATATCTTGAAAAGATGCAACCCTAACATTAAAAACCATAAATATATGTCAAACGATATTTTTCAGAAAAATGCAACCCTTGAAAATAACCATAAAGTAGTTATACTGAAAATACGCAATTTTTGGAAATTAGTTACTTTTGAAAGGATAAAACCACAAAACAGTTATATTGAAAATTCACAGCCGTTGGAAATAACGATAAAGTGGTTATATTGAAAAAACATAATCTTTGGAAATAACCATAAAAATATTATTTTCGAAAAAACACAACCATAAAGTGGTTATCTACATATTAAATACAATTTTTGGAAAAAATTAGAAAGCGGTTATATCTAAAAAACGTAACTCTTGGAAATAACCATAAAACGGTTTTTTCTTAAAGGACACAATCTTAAATAACCATAAAGCGGTTATATAAAAAAGGCAACTTTTGAAAAAGAGGTTATATAAAAAAAAAGACAACTCTTAGAAATAATTATAAAGCGGTCATATTGAATAAACGTAATCTCTCAAAATAACCAATAAACGAGTTTTCCCGAAAAAATGCAATTTTTGGAAGTAAATATAAAACGGTTATTTTTGAAAGAACACAACCATCAAGCGGTTATCTATATAGTATATGCAACCTTTAAAAATAACCATTATACGGTTATATCGAAAAAACACAATTTTTGAAAAAACGGTTATATAAAAAAGATGCAACACTTGGAAATAACCATTAAACGGTTATTTCCGAAAAGACACAATCTTAAATAACCATAAAGCGGTTATATCGAAAATGCAAATCTTGTAAAATCGGTTATATGGTAAAAACCGCAACTCTTGGCCCACAAAAAACGTTTTTCTTTTCTCACTCATTTCACGGATTGGAACCATAGCTATTCGTCTAACCAATAGAATAATTCATAGATTTTTACGCC